TCACTAGTCACACATGGCCAAGGTCTGTTGAACTAGACACCACGGAGAGAGGTGTGATCATATTTAGGTTCAAGCGTTTGCCAGGAATGCTTCACTGGTGCTGTGTTCATCCATCAGGAAGCAAACAATGTCTGGTTTTCTCTCTTTTTGTGATAATAGCATCCATTGATGATCATTGTCATAGGGACATGAATTCACAGAAGGTGCACAGTGGTGACGATCTAACTCTACTATCCCTTCTGAATATTTTCCCTTGGAATATTTCTGTTAGAGAAACTTCCGCTCATCAACCATTTGGTTCTCTATTGTGTGCAAAACATATAGCAAAGGTCTAAGTCAATGGTTCTTTCCTTTACTGAACAGCCTGAGAGGGTCACAGCTGTGTTGAGGAGAGGTCACTGTGTTTGCTGTGTGCAGAATGGGTTGGGGGTAAGCGGTGGCTGAAGGGAGCTGGGGGAGGAGGCAATTGTTATGCAGGTGGCACCCCCAGCCACGGTGAACCCCGGGCAGCACGCCAACCCGCGCCTCCAAAACCTCAGGAGTCTCCTTCAAAAGGCCCGAGACGCTCCCAGCCACCACCAGGGTGCCCTTCCAGCCCTGCCCTGTGCCCAGACGGTTGTTCCAATCAGGTCCCCTCCCCAGACCACCTCCCATCAGGGCCTCGGCGGGAGCACCGGTGCCTCCCGCCCTATGCAGGCAGCTCTGGTCCAGCCCTGCCTTTCTCTGACCCGGGTCACGTGCTCGCCACACCCGGGTCTCCCCTCTCGCCCACCCCTCTCACTTTGTCTGAGGTCTTGCTCCTTTTATTCCTGGAATTTTGTTCTGGGAACCTTCACTTTCTCCCTGGAGCTGGCTCCTTCCATTAGCATCTACATAAAAATTCCCTCTGCTCACATTCCTCTACAGTTTCCATTCTACTTTTGTCCATCTCCTTAACAGGTAAACTTCTTGCAAGAGCTGTCTGCGTTCACTGTCTCCACTTCCTTACCGTCCACTCTCACTGCCCACGGTCCCCTCAGCTCCTCACTGCTGTCCTAGGCACGCCAGCCGCAGTCAGTAACTAGTTGCTCAGTGAATGCCTATACCTAGGTCCCCGGCAATTCCTTTTCTCTGGCCTTGTACTCTGGCTGGTAGTCCTGCCTCACTGAATCCCCTGGACCTGCCTGTTAGACACAGCTAAGGCGAGTTCTCAGAGAAGCCCCCCCCACCCCTACCCCACACCTCTGGCTCCCTCCGTGTTGTACATCTGTGTGAGTCACAGACCGCCTGGACTTTGGACAGTTACATCACATTTCTGACAGTTGCAGATATACATCCCCGCCCCTCTGGAAAGCCGCAGCACGTCCCACTATGCAAGGCTCGGGAGCTGCCCAGTAGTTTCACTTCCTGGGCAGGAACGTCCTCTAGATTTGTTCCTTCTTAGTGAGAGGCCGCTGGATGAGAATGGGCTGCCTGTAGCTGGTGGGATGCTCAGGGAGGAAGCAGGCTATGGGGCCTTCACAGCCTTGGGGTGCAGAAGAGGACTAGGGGAGAGGTCAGGGCCTGATTTGGCTCCACTCTCGTCTCAAGAGTTTGCAGAATCTAGGGCGCAGGGCATCTTTCCTCAGGGGCCTCCTGTGGGCTCCCCAGTCAAGTGGCGATGGTAACACGCCCATGTCCTCCCGGGGTACCCTCAGCAGAAAGGCTCTCATGTAAGGCACATGTTTGGGACAGGAAAACATGGCGCATTTGAGGGGTCACTGCGTCACCAGAGAGAGAAAGCAGGCACCCCAGTGAGGACGTCTGCAGGGCAGGGGAGAGCAGTGGAGGCTCAGCCCCCAGCACTGGTTTCCCTGCTGGTGGTGGCTCATTACCACGCGGGACGTTTCCTGCGAATCTGTGATACATGCGCACCTTTCTTTACTGTTTACCAAAACCCAGCTCCAGTCTCCTTTGATCCTCTGACTGTTCTGCCTCTAAAGGTCACAGGACTGGGCACCCCGGGCCTTCACAGAGCTCTTGGGAACCAAGGGAAAGGGACAGGTGGGAGAACAAAAACCCTCGGATCCGCATTCTGCCTCCTTCTGCCACTCGCCCCAGCTTCATGAGTGTCTGCTGTGTGCCATGAGGGTTGGGGCATGGTTGGGGCAGAGAAGTCACGGTGACTGACAGGCTTCTGGGAGCAAAGGGCCTGGCCGGGGAGGCTCCGGAGACCTCTGTACCATGAACGAAAGGTCGTGTACTCTGTGCACGTAAGGTAGCCTGAGGGTCTCCTCACATCACAGTAACAAAGTGCGGCCAGTCCCTGACCCACAGACCCAAACTTTTGTGGAAACACAAAGAGATGCTGGTTTCTTTGAAGAGTAAGGTGTTCTCTAAAAGCTAATTCAGAAAAAAAGTTTTTGCAAGTAAATTTTTGAGAGAACAAGTTTATTATCCCTTAAAGCATCAAAACTTACTCTAACCATTTGCATAATATACCTTAAAATATTTAATGCATTTCTTATTGAACTCAAATTAATTTATCCTTTTTCCAATGACTGAGGGCTGTCCTTAGGAACAGTAAGTCACATTCAAGATAAATTTTTAAAGCTAGCTCTTTTTATTAGTTTTTGTTGTATATTGGTAAACCCTTGTGTCAAGGATCTGAGTAGATGGCAGGGTGGCAGCTGTCCTGCTACATACAGAACCCTGACCAGAAGCAGCTGTTGTTAGTGGCTTAGCCCCTAGCTCTTCGCCACAGGGGACGGTCCTCTCCTTTCCTGCCGGGCGCTGAGACAGGTTTTGAAGAACTGACACCTAGAGAAAGAGGAGTCTCTGGCCAGGCCCAGGAAAACCCCTGGGCCAGGGCTGAGGAGCACACAGCTCAGAGAGGTCCCGCGCTTTGCCTGGCCACATGGCCAGTGAGCGGCGGCGCTGGGCTCCGGACCCCTGACTGGCTGTTCTGTCAGGCCAAGAGCTCCTCATTCAAGCTGCCAACTGCTTCCTTCACATGTGCTCCCTAGGCTCAGAGTATCCATTATTTCTGTCCACTCCCACCTCCATTCCTTCAAAATTTGCTTCTTGTGATTTAACGGGGACTAAGAGAAGCTCGTTAGAACTGTGTTTTGTACAAAACCAAATGGCCGCTCCGAGCCTGCTGCTCTTCCCCTTGCAGCGTGGTGCCTGGGCCGGGCTGGCTACAGCTACTTTACAAAACTGGCTGAATTTTTCATTTTTATCTTGATTCATGACTGTCTTTTTTATGGATTGCTGACATCGCCAGCTTCTAAAAAGCATGAAATTATTTTATAGATGTGTATTTTTTATTCATTTAAAATCCACAAGGCTGAGCTGTCTACCTACAAAATTGTAATTAAATGTGCTAAGAGGAAAAAAAAGGAAAAAGAAAGCTTCTATCTACTTCAAGGGACATTAAGAGCTCTGGGCACCTATTCAGCATCAAGAGACTGCATTAGAGAGTAACTCTGGATGAGGTAGGCCAAAATAAGGTCATCTGCCAGCTGTTAAGAAATAGGAAAATTAAGCTTATGTGGTTCCTAGGTTGTCTTAACAGTGGCCAGGCCACCCACCAAAACACCTTGAAATGCTTCTCATTTGTTTAGAACTTAGTTTTTTGAAAGTTTCAGTCCTGACACATCCTTGATGTGTACAGAATGAGTATCTGTATTTCAACTGTCCCACCAAAGCCTGATACATATGATGCAAGAAATCCCTGTTGAATGACTAATTCTTCCCAATGTGCATGGTACTTTGTAAAGATCATTAAGTGCTTTCTTAAAAATACTTCTCTCTTTAACAACACCCCACCCTGGCAGTGGGTGGGTATTATCAGATTAGAAGTGGGATTCAGAGAGACCCAGGGGCTGTGCCCAAGCTCTGGAAAAGGTGACGGTGGTAACACGTCTCAGGGACCCTGTCCCTAGCAGTGCCCTCCCACAGGACAAAAGGGAACTGACATAGATGGCGCAGGCCCCATACAAACAGAACGCAAGGGCAGAATTCTCTCCAAGTTTTTACAGATTAAAAAATGGGGGTCCTTTAAAGTACAATGGCTTGACCTGAGTCATAGCTTCCAAGTGGCTGAGTTGGGGCGTTCAGGGTTAAGCTTCGGAAGAGCAGGTGTTGGCTGCAGTCTTTGTACCACAGTACAAATCCAGTTTGTTAGTCAATGATTACCCCCCAAACAGCAGGGACACAAGAATTCATCTCTTTTTCAGCCACAGATTTTTTTCCTAAACAAAAAGGAAAGATGAGACATACTCGGACACATACCACTACAGTCCAGTATCAACATGGCTGCTAGTCAGAATTTGGATCTGAGTTCCTTTTCTGCTTTAAAGCCTGGGAAGGGCACCCCGGAGTTGCCCACTGCATGCATTCAAATCTCTCGATGTGGCCCTAAGTCCTTCCCACTGGCCTGCAATTCAATTTCTCCTCTCGCCGTCCTTCACGTCTCCTCCGATCCCAAGCACAGCGAACGCCTTGCTGCTCTGCAGACACAGAGGCCCCGCCTTGCCTCTGGGCCTTTGCCATGCAGGTCCCTCCATCTGCCATGTGAAATCTCCCACGGCTTTTATCTGCATTACCCTCCATGAACCTTTCATGATCCTTGAGTCAGAAAAGCTTTCTCTGCATTCCATAGGATGGCTATATATCCCTTCATCATGTAATTAATCACACTGAACTGTAATTGTTAATATACCTATCCCCTCTCCTTCCACTGGAGAATGTGGCAGAGGTCAAGGCTTATTCATCTTTGTATTAACCTTGTTCAGCCGGTGGGGGGGGGGGGAGGGGAGGGGAGGGAGAAAGAGAGAGCGAGCAAGCGAGCCCGAGCGCGCGCGCGCTACTTCAGTAAATGCGGCATGGCTGGCTGACTGAGAACAAGGTTTTCATACTTCAATATGAAATTCAAAACAATGAAGAAGACAGGACTCAAATATAGCAGGGGAATAACATACACTTTTACTCTCAAAATAAATACTAATCAATTTTATTTTATAAATACAGATGCTGAGTTTTCCTCCAATTACCAACAGATCAGTTTCACATGCCATTTATTATTGGTGGTGGTTTAAAAAATTATTTAAATAACCGGTTAGGTCAGGATAAACGGGCACCATTAGAACTGCTAAAAAAATATAGCTGGATACAATCTTCCAAAACTAATATTCTGAGGGGGGAAAATAATCTCTGGAATTTCTAAAGTGGGTAAGAGGAAGTGGAGAGAGAAAAACACAATCAAATATTCATTTGATAACATTTGCTGGCTGTTAAAGTGTCTTAGCTACATGAAAGCTGTCAGGGCTCTTAGTAGTTCAGAAAGAATAGTAGTGAGCTTTCATTTCATTTTATATCCTCAAAGCAAACTTGAAATTTTTAGTGATTTACAAGACTAATTAAAAGATTAGTAGGAGATAACAACTCATCCCATATTTTGGCCATGGCCACTTTTAACAGAGGCAAAATTAATTCTGCAGCATTGGAAAATGTTGAACAGTTCATTTCTGGAGACACGTAATACCGTAGGTTCTACCCAGGTCATGGCAGAAACTGCAGACATCAAAAACATTCAATGAAAACATAAAACCCAAACTCAACAAACCCAAACCTAAGTGGTGTTTAGAGGCATAACATCATTGGACACTGCGGATCAAGCAAATGTGTCAGTAACTACTGATCAATTCTGAGCAATCTAATTGCATTCATAGCAGGGCTCCATGTTGGGGAGTAAAAAGCTGTGAACCCCAGAATTAGGCAGTCACAACTTAGAGACCGACAGATGGAACTCCAGAGTTCCAGAGTTCCATCTGGTGGTGTGGAACCTGAGATAAACACTGTAACCACAAGTGCTCTGCATGGGTCCCTCTGCTTGGTGCTGCCCAGAGCCAGGCCGGAGGGCCTGCAGGTGAATATACCTTGTCTTTGAGTTTGGCATAAAGTTTAACTCCCATGTCTTGGGAATTCACAATCACATGCAATTCACTTCACATTGTTTAATACTAACACAGTCCTTCAAACACCTTTTTTTAGGGGGGAGGTAGATGCTAATTCATTGGAAGACCCCCACGGATCAGTTTGATGTATATCCTAGACCGTGTCTGTCCCCACCCTCTTTGATTCTAAAGTGAATGACAGTACATTGCAAAGAAGCTGTGCCTCTACAGATGGCTTCTGCTCTGGCTTTGGAGTAGTCCCACCTTTTTATGTGGAATTTTTATGGATTTCATCAGGTCAAGTTAAAGCTTTAAACTATTCACAGGCTGGGTCTGTCCATCATGCAATGATTCTGTGAGTTCTTTTGACATGGAAAATAACATGAACTACTCCATTTCAATGTTGCTATAAATTAAACTTGAGCCCAGGAGTGCCTGGACAAAATATGAAAATAATTATGAGGCTTACGAGTTAAGATGTTAACGCAGGACAAGCACAGCTACTAGACAGTACACCTGTGAAGGTGTTTGTGTTGCTATAACAATAGGTAAATTCAAATGAAGCCAGCAACATTAGTTTAGATACTGCCTGGGTTTTTGTTCAGGGTAGTCCTGTCATGATGTAACACATGGAGGTGTAATTTCGAGAGGAATTCGAAGCTGAAAAAAAAAAATCAGGTCAAGTGAAGTACACTCAATTTTTATTCTTCTATACAATACATGGATATATGGATAAATTTTCCTTAAAGAGCTTGCAACCCTGAGGCGATGTCCTTGGGTATATAAAATATAAAGCAATAGCAAATGAAATTTGAGCTCCTGGAATGACTATTGGACTTCAAAAACATAATTAATATTTATGCAACTGCACACATACCAACAGTATTCTATGCCTCATCTAGTCTCTTAGTCCAACTACCTCCACTGCCTTGCAGTTTGCACACTAGACAGTCTGACTCTACATATATTTCGTCACATACAATGTCTTCCTTTCCAACCGAAGTTTAATAAATTAACATGGATTTACATATAGGGGTTTTTGTCTGATGAGTGCATTGCCAGAAAGCATGCCTAGTTTTTGACTGCAGCATCTGCCCACATAAAGAGTTGGCCCTCAAAGGGCACTGGATGCCACCTGACTACAGCAACCTTGGGGTCCTGGAGGGTTCCCTGGGATCCACCAAAAGTGAGGTTTTTCCATCTAATTTGAGGGCTAATCAAGGTTTGGCTGATTAGAAGAGGTGCAAGGTCAGAGCTACTGCATTAAAGGACCAGTGAATCTGATGTCCTCAGTTTTCAGGGTGCATGACCCACCCATTGTGGAATGGGGACACAGAGGAGCCCGCGGTTGCCTGCAGGGCATGGGGGCAGGGGCAGGTGGGCCTGGGTCTAAGGGGACTCTTGTGCTTCTCACTCATCAGCCTAATGGATGGCCAAAGATCCTTCAGTAAATGGTAGAAATCTTTTTCTAAATATTCACTTTTCCCAAAGTTTTATAAACTGCGGTGAGGGCAAATGCTTGAGAAACTAAAGATGAGTTCATTATATTATTTATATATTATCATCTTCCCTCTGAGGATAACACAGAAGTGTAAATAAAAGAGCAGACAAATACCTCGAACGTGACTCGAGCTCGAGAGTGACTTTTGCCTTAAAACAGTTGTCAGGCCTGAAAAGCACATCTTGCAAGCAAAATCTAACTTTGTCTGGCCCACTGATACACAATGATCCTGAGTCCCTCCTTGATTCAAAGTCTGTTTTTCTGAGGAATATCCTCCGTTAATATTTATTTTAAGTCATAATTATTACAAAGGGTAACCAGTGCAGCTTTATCCTCATTTTAGGCAGCAACTCTGTCCCGATCCTACGGTCTGCCTGCTTGCTTCACTTATCAGAACTCCTGCGTGGCCGGCGGAAGCTGGATACGTTTTCATTCAGTGCATAGATCCTTCGGGAGAACTCTTCAAATTCTCCCAGAACTTGTTCGTCACACTCCACTGCTACAGCACTGTCCACTGGGATGCAGTTAAATGCTTCCAGCTGATCGCTCGAGGTGAAACCCGTGGCTTCCATCCCAATGATCTCTTCTGCTTGCTCCACGGTACAGCAGAGCTCGGCCTCGGAGACTGGGGGGAACTCGCCTGGAAGCTGGATGCTGGCGGAGCCGGCCTGCTCACCGGGCAGGAGAGAGCCATTTACTGTGGCTGCGTGCCCAGGGAGGGCTTCTCCTTGCTCTTGGCTAGTGTTTTCACTCACGTGGCTTCCATTTAAGCTGTCACCCAAATCTACTCCTTTTTTCTGGTTTTCTTTGGAGAAGTCCAAGGAGGTATCCAAGGAGGAGGACAGGGATGTTGTCTTTCTCTCAGATTCTCCCAGGGAGGGGATGGTGGGCACAGGCTGGGCTAATGCTGAGTTGTAGCTGGGAGGAGGGGTTTTGTACTGGAGTCTCTCGTTCTCTGAGCTGGCCCGTTTTCGGTGTCCTTTGTCTGGCGAAGGGATGCCCCCAGAGAAGCCTGCATCTGCACCCCCAAATATGGAGCTTTGTCTCTTTGGGACAGGGATTGCACTGGAGGTGTGATGCCTGTCACTAGAAGACAAACAAAAAACGAGAAGTTAACTTTCAACTTTAGAACTCAGTTTCAGCCTTCTGGATCCAGAGACAGGAAATAGCATGTTTAGGTTTGAGATAATAAAAATTTATAATAATCAATCTTAGTTCAAATCGTAGTGTCCGAATGGACGAAACAACATAAAGTATTCTGAGTTCAACTTTGGGAGCTTCCTTCAGGAAGCATACAAGGCATAATGAAATAAATCCAGAGGAGAATGCCCAGGGCAGGAATGGGGCTAGAGACCATGTCATATGGGGAAGAGCTGAAGTAATTGGACAGATTGGATCTGCAAAGAAAACTATATAAGGGAGGTAATTAACTTTATTTATCTGAAGGGCTATCCATATTCTTATTTTTCATATTCCACTTATTTTATCTTCATAAAGCAGGTATCCTTATGGCAGGGAAGTTAAGTGACTTGCCCACGGCACCTTAGCGAAGCAGCGGCAAGGCTACTAAAACTCCTGACTCATGACGTGATGCTCAGTTGCTTTTCCAACACCAAAATACCAATCACCTTGGATTGGAGAGAACTGACAGAGAGAGGATCAAGGATACACACACATATTTTTAATGAAAAATTAATCTGGGCCCTGACTTCTCCTTTACCAGGCTAGTCACACGCGTTTTCTAAGTTTGGTTTTCAGTGCCTTCTTTCAAACTTGAGTTACTTCTTAGGAAGATACTTTGTGCCAGCAATAATAATTATTAAGCAATACAAATTTTAGTTTCTAAAGTAATTTCATAGACATCATTTCATTTGGTCCTCACAAAAACCCTGTCAAGAAAGCAGAGTATGCATTACTACTCTTATGTCTGAAATAATAACAATTTGTTAATGAAAAGAGAGTATCCGAACACTGGAAATTATGGTCATGTTGTGCACTGTGCTAGTAAAACCATCCGTGGAGTAGTCGTCACTATTTTTGGCATTGTACTTGGATGAAGCTAGTCGGCTCCAAGGTAACTATGTGAACAGACTAGGTCTAGAGACAGAGGGAGGTAGAAACAAAAGACCCATTTGACTCATGTGTCCTCCAGGTGAGAAAACACACTTGCAAAAGGGCAACTACTACACATGAGCAGAGGACAGACCTGAAACCAGACCACCGAACAAACAACTACTACCTGGGCCAGGCCATGGGGATGGGAAACAAATGCAAGACAGAGCAGGCCTGCCTCTCAGGAGCTCCTAATCTTGTAGGAGAAAGATACCCAGAACTGCTGAAATAATGCACTTTCAAATCACAATTGTGATATGTCCTGAAAAAGAAGAAAAGATCTAGGGTTCCTTTCTATAGCCACAAGCCCTTAAACCAGCTCCCTGCTCTCTCTCCTCTCAGATTCTTCCTGACACTGGGTTATCCCCGTGGTCTCAGAGACCTAAGCAAGGGTTATTCTTCTTGAGAAAAGGCAACCATAAGTCTCCTAATCTGTGGGCCTGTCAGACAAGCATGCTTAGCTCTCCGTGTTGGTGCCAGGAGAGATTTCATAATTAGGGGTGGTCAGTGGGGTGCATAGAACCAGGCAAGTAGACTAGTAAATTACTGTTTTTGGTTCTCAAGAAAAGCAAAACAAAGCAGAGCAAAATCTGCTAGCTCTAATCTAGGTTTTCAGTTAATATGTTGTCAAAACTCACAGTAATTGGGTATGCTACACATTTTTGTGAACCTTGTTGTTTTCACTCTACCACTTGCTGACGGTGTCCCTCTCTAAATGATTGTGCAGGGGGCCTGGGTAATCAAACAAAACAGAGCATCAGCACTACTCACAGAGTCTGTCCTGGGCAGTTTCCGCCCCTGCCCAGGAGGGGCGGGAAGCACCAGGCGAAGCGGCCTGGAACAGTGAAGGTGATGCTGCTGGCACGGGACTGGACACCAGGTGCTTAACTGCTCCTGGCTGTGAAGGGTGAATGGCATGGCACCTTCCCTGCCGCCATCACCTCCCCTCTCCCCACCCCATCCTTCTCTGCTTCTCTACTGGGCTGGTGAAAGGCAGAGCGTGAGAAACGGGCCAGGGTACAACAAGCAGTGCTTACCACACAGAGGAAAGGGGTTTTTGCAGTTCTCTGTGATTCTGACACTCCCTGAAAGCTCTCCTAAACTCTGCACAACAGAACAGTAACACAGTGCAACAACCCTCCCTGCAACGACCATGGGCAGGGAGCCACCACTCTTCCGAGCATCAATAATGTTGAACCATCACATCTACCCTGTGAAAAAGGCAGGCAGGCGAGTGGGTTCTGTGGTTTAAGGTTGCAGAACCCACATCTGAACTAGATTTGCTCTGACGCTAGGGCTCACACAGTCTGTTACATCCCACGTGGGAAAAATCATATTCAAATTTAACATTTGCTAAGTGCCAACGATATGCCAGACTTCAAGCTACATGCCATTCTACAGGCCTTTTCATTTAACTCGCCCAACCTATATCTAAGCTCAGTTATAAGGATGGATTCTTAGGCTTTTCAGAGGTAGAGACTTTGGTATTTTCCAACATTCTGATTTTGTGACATTCCTCTCTAGTTTCCCTTGGGTTTTTATGAGAATCCAGGTGATGAGAATTTGAGATACAATTCGTAAACCTCCACAATCAGTAAAATTTCCCTCTTAAAAATAGTAAGAAAACGAGTTATTATGCATAAGCAATAAAGAAGTCTATGTATCTAACGTTTACCCTTTAATCACATTTTGTCTTTCCCCCCCATTTTTAGCCATGTGCAATGAAACCTTTAAAATTTTTTTACTACAGTCTTTCTTATAATTTTAAAAAAAAGTAAGCCGAACAAAAAAGGTATTGTCATAACTTTGGATCGCCACTGTGAAAATGTATTACTAAACTATGACACAGTAAAGAGACTACAGGATGTTCAGTGGTGTGTTTTGTAGGATATGAGTCTGAGAGTTAAGCCTGTGCTTCAACTCCTCTGCGGCCTCTCTGCCCATCGAGGTGAGCATGGCCGTGCCAGCGCTCGTGCCTGCAGGGGCTTCTCTCCCTCTCTTTTAGATTTATTTATTTTTAGAGAGAGAAGAAGGGAAGGAGAAAGAGGGAGAGAAACACGGGTATGAGAGAGAAATAGCAATTGGCTGCCTCTTGCATGCACCCCAACTGGGACCAAACCCGCAATCCAGGCACGTGCCCTGACCAGGAATCGAACTGGTAACCCTTTGCTTTGCAGGATGATGCCCAACCAACTGAGCCACACTGGTCAGGTGGGTAGGAGAGCGGCTTCTCTTATTTTAACGTTTGCTTCTAATCTGCTGTGTTCTTGTAAAGTAGATATCCTAAAGATTGTGTGTGAAGTTAAGAGTAAATAAGATTTGAGTGATGGGCCAGATGTCCTGGGCATAATATGCTTTAGTATGAGTTTTGTAACATTAGTTTTGGCTGCTCAGAATTGATTTTTTTTATTGCTTCCAGGGTCTTAGCAATGTTCCAGATTTTTAGGATAGCTGAGCTCCAAACAGCTGAAGTGTTGAATGATTACCTTAAAATATATACAAACACAGATGCATTTTTAATTATTGTAATAATTTTCTCTGGAAAACTCAAAAATATAAACCATATGAAAAATAAAAGTCGCTCACAAGGCTATTACTCATCAAACAACCACTATTAATTTGGGACATTTTCCTTTCAGACTTTAATTTTATATATGTGTGTTTAACAGACCAAACAAACCTAAAGCTGTGTTTGTGACACACACACACACACACTCTCTCTCTCTCTCTCTCTCTCTCTCCTGTCTCCTGCTGTTGGATGTTATTAAAATCTGGTAAATAATTCTAAATTGTTGCTCCATTAATTAGAATATAATAACTTGCTTAAACATCCCTTAGTTTTGAAGATTTAGGATATTTCTAAAATTTTACAATTAAGAAACTGCTGTGAGCATCTCTATAAAAACACAACACATAGATTTTTAATAAAATTTGATTTTCATAGTTAATAGAAAGTTTCCAGGAGAATCCTTCATTTCACATTTCAGTAGAAGCTAACTTCTTACAAGAAAAAAGGAGCATTTAATTTCTACTATTGCCCAAAAAAGGTAAAAAGTAGCAATTAAAAAGGCAAATAATAGATCAAAAAAGAAGGCCCAGAAGGTTTCAAAATTCCTTTTGTCTGATTACAGTCTGGCTTCATGATTATTTCATCTAGATGGAAGAAGAGGTTGAAATGCAAAGATTTTCTAATTATATGACCAATTTTTAAAGGCTGTTGATAATTTACTTATCAAATGAAATTAGTACGTCCTTTAAGTTGTGATGAGTAACTTATAGAGTATTTTTACTCTTAGAAACAACTAAGGTAAATGTGGGTGTTCGGGGAGGAGCGGACGCAGCAGGAAACATGGGAGCTCTGCTCTGTCTTCCACTCCTGCCTTAGACTAGAGATTCGGCGGCACTGAGCCTGAGGTCTAAGCCACAGAACTGAGCCCCCCAGTCCACTGAACACAGTCTCCTCATCAACCATTTGCCTTGAGTGGATGTCTCTTCCAGCTTGGCTTAAGTCCAAACTGGAAACCTGGAAACATGACATCTGGGGTTTAATGCTGCAATTAAAAGGAATTTATTTAAAAACAACAACCCAAAGATACTGTAATTGCGAATTTACTAGGCCATGGTTTGGTGAAACACGGCATAGGTTGTTGAATAACTGAACCACATCGGGCCTGTTTAATTACTTAATAATAAACCTTTTGCTACAAGTTAAAAAGGATATCCTAGAGTCACAAACAAGAGCATGAGGAGGGAGAAGCCAAGTGGTTTGGGGTTTGCCGGTCAAGGAGAACAGTCTGGTTTAAATTTGGCTTCTTCGGATCAAATCTTCTCTGATTTCTGCAAATTAAGGTGATTAATTTCTTTCTCATTCCATGAGTCCTCATTTATTGCAGTCAGTTACCTTCTGTGATCCCTTCAGCTGTATCTGGAGAGAGTGGTGGTGATGAGAAAGGATATTCAAAGACCTGGATTCT